TACACCATGACCAAGTGGGATTTATTCCGGGGATGCAAGGATGGTGAAATATCCGTGAATCAATAAACGTGATACACCATATAAACAAACTGAGAGATAAAAACCATATAATCATATCCATTGATGCAGAAAAAGCATTTGACAATATCTAACACCCTTTTTTGATAAAAACTCTCAGCAAGGTAGGAATAGAAGGATCATAACTCAACATTATAAAAGCCATATATGACAAACCTACAGCCAACATCATACTCAATGGGCAAAAACTAAAGCCATTTCCTGTAAGAACAGGAACAAGACAGGGATGCCCACTCTCAACATTCCTGTTCAACATAGTACTAGGCATTGCAATCAGACAAGAAATAATAGGTATCCAAATTGGAAAAGAAGTAAAATTGTCATTATTCACAGATGACATGATATGGTACACAGAAAACCCTAAAGACTCAATCAAAAAACTACTAGACTTAGTAAATGAATTTGGCAATGTAGCAGGATACGAAATTAACATCCAGAAGTCTATGGCTTTTTCTATACACCAATAATAAACTCACAGAAAGAGAATCTAAAAAAAAAAATCCCATTTATCATTGCAACAAAAAAATTAAGATACCTAGGAATAAATTTAACCAAGGAGGTAAAGGATATGTACTCAGAAAATTACAGGATGCTGAAAAAAGAGATAGAAGAAGACATAAACAAATGGAAGAATATACCATGTTCATGGATTAGTAGGATCAACATCATTAAAATATCCATACTACCCAAAGCAATCTATAAATTCAATGCAATCCCCATTCAAATACCAGCAGCATACTTCAAAGACCTAGAACAAAAATTCTCCAAAAATTCATCTGGAATAAAAAAAGACCCCGAATAGCTGCAGCAATCCTGAGAAAGAAGAACAATGTTGGAGGGATCACAATACCAGATATCAAGCTATACTACAAAGCCACTGTTCTCAAAACTGTCTGGCACTGGCACAAGAACAGACATATAGACCAGTGGAAAAGAACAGGGAACCCAGATATCGACACAAGCCATTATGCTCAATTAATATTTGACGAAGGAGGCAAGAGCATACAATGGAGTCAAGAAAGCCTCTTCAATAAATGGTGTTGGGAAAATTGGACAGATACATGCAAAAAGATGAAACTAGACCACCAACTCACACCATACACAAAAATAAGCTCAAAATGGATAAAGGACTTAAACATAAGATGGGAAACCATAAAAA